ACCCCCATCCCAGAGCCTGTACCCCCTCCTGCACCCCAACCCCCAGGCCCCCCCAAACCCCAGAGCCCCCTCCTGCACCCCAAGCCCCTCGTCCCTGGCCCCAGCCCTGAGTTCCCCTCAACCCGGAGCCCCCTCGTGCACCCCCAGCCCAGAGCCCGTATCCCCTCCTGCACCAGAGCCCATACCCCCCCAAACCCAGAGCCCCCTCCTGCACCCCAACCCCCTCATCCCTGGCCCCAGCCCTGAGCCTCCCCCAAAACCTGGAGCCCCTCCTGAACCCAAGCCTGCACCCCCAGCCCAGAGCCCTCTCCCACACCCTGAACCCCTCAGCCCCACCCCAGAGCCCTCACCCCCTCCTACTCCCCAAACCCCTCATCCCTGGCCCAACTCCCTCCCGCACCCCAACCCGCTGCCCCAGCCCTGACCCCCCCAAACCCAGAGCCCCCTCCCACACCCCAAACCCTTCATCTGTGGCCCCAACCCAGAGCCTGCACCCCATCCCAGAGCCTGTACCCCCTCCTGCACCCCAACCCCCAGGCCCCCCCAAACCCAGAGCCCCCTTCTGCATCTGAGTCCGCACCCCCAGCCCAGAGACCTCTCCCCTCCCTGCACCTCAACCCCTGCCCCGAGCCCCCTCCAACTCCCTAAACCCCTCAGCCCCAGCCCAGTGAAAGTGAGTGAGGGCGGGAGAGAGCAAGCCACCGAGGGAGGGGGAATGCAGTGAGCATGGGGGGGGGAGTTGCCTCGGGGAAGGGGGGGCCTCAGGGAAGGGGCGGGACTAAGGTGTTTGTTTTTGTGCCAATAGAAAGTTGGTGACCCTCGCCGGGGTCCAGCACTGTGCTCAGGCCCGGTCTCAGGGGGGCAGGCAATGGTAGGGTTACCATACGTCCGGATTTTCCTGGACATGTCCGGCTTTTTGGGCTTCAAATCCCCGTCCGGGAGGAAATCCCAAATAGCCGGACATGTCCGGGAAAATAGGGAGGGAGGGCCTGGTGGTGCTCGGCCGGGGGCCGGCAGTGCGGGGCTGGCGGTGCTGGGCCGGGGGTGCGGGGTCGGGGCTGGGGCCGGCGGTGCTCGGCCGGGGGTGCGGGGCCGGGGCCGAGGGTGCTGGGCCGGGGGTGCTGGGCCGGGGGCCGGGGGTGCGTGGGTCAGG